GGTTATGACAGAGACCGAGTGCTACAGGAGGAAGGTGTGATTTTCAAATTTTGCTGTTTTTTCTTCTTCTTTTTTTTCAGATTTCAGCCTACACCAGCTTTAATCATTTTGTTAAGTACTTCTTCCTGCCACACACACATTACTTTAACCACTGACATCCTTGGAACAAAAGCTGTGAGTCTGCAGTTGATAAATTTTACTCTGACCTTTTGAGTCAAGTCAATTTTAAACACATAGCCCGTTATCACAGATCTCCTTTGAGGGGCTGTGTATGCTGCAATGTTTTTTTGCAGAATGAGCTGAAAGTAGTTTGCAGCCATTTATAATGGCTGTATAGTAAAATCTGACATGTTTAACTACATTAGAGAGACTGTCCAAAGGCTAAAGCCGATTCAGCACAGCAGGCTTGAGAAACTCTTTCTTTCATGTCTCTGTGGTTTCCAGGAACAGGACATTCCTATGTTTTGCCTAATAAGGGACAGGCAACGAGTCAAACAGCTTGCCCTTTGGCTACGTATACAACTTAAAACACAAGCCACACAGCAGCACCAGGAACTATGTCTTCCTTTAGATAGCATGTTTTCAAAACATGGTTTTAAAAATTGCTGCTCAGGTGACCTTGTAACATGGATTAACATGATATTGCCATGCCAATGTGGGCGTACAGAGGGCAAAGTCTCTTTGAAATCGCACAGTGGTTTTAAATTACCACCCGAGCTCTATGATCACAACTATTTAACAAGCCCTGCTTTCCCATTCCTCACTGTCCTCTGGTTAAATCCTGATGTGATCAGCAGTGTTTGGTGTGCACATATGAAAAGATGAATGACTTAAAAGTCCCATTAGTGCTCTATCTGTGGTCACTACAAATGCATTACAATAAATTACATGCCATTAAGATGCATCAGTTTGGCCACTGTATGTCAGTCTAATCATGTGTACCAGCCGTGTCTATTTCCGAACATAACATGACACTGTTACTGTCATTGTAAGTACTTTAAGTGCTCGCATTATTAGCGTAAAGGGCCCTTATGGGACTCTAATCCCTGGTACCGCCACAAGCTAAGATGTGCCATACATGCAAATTCACTGAACGGTACTTTTAGCAGCGCTAACAACCAAAGTGATGCAAAGGAGCGTGTATGAATGTGTGTGTTTAAAGCAGCTGACTGGCGAGGTGTCCCGCTGAGCTTCAGTCTGACAGCAGCCATAAAACTCATTTTACCATCCTCCTCTCTGCTCCTCTCTTTTTTTTCTTTCATTCCCTCCTTTTTAACAATCAGCTCTTTTCTTTCTAGGTCATGTGTTGCTGAGCCAAAATTGTTTTGCCTGCAGCCGACGCTGCAAGACGGAAAAAAGATTAGCTTGGGGGTTTCTGTGCGTCCTCTGTGCATGTGTTTATGTGTGAAACTTGTGTTTACAGGGGAATGACGGGGTTTTTGAGGGTTAATTTGAGAAGACAAAGTGGTTTGGCAAGTCACTAGATAATGTGCTTACACTAACACTCCAGCAGTTTGTCAGTAATCTCTTTTTTCCCCTTTACATGTTCATATTACCAAAAAAATACATAGATTAAGTGCATTTACGGGAAAGAAACCTGGCAGGTGGTCTGATGCTGCCATATTAAAAACGTAGAGCTTTTTTTTTTTACTTAACTGTGCACATATGTGTGAACAGTTTAGTCATGTGTTTCAGCTTACAGTTTGAGTTGGACGCTAAAACAAAGCTTTACAGATGATCAGATTTCTCTTTATACGTTAACCAGGTCTCTCTAAAGCCCTTGATCATTTAAAGGGTTCTGAGTTTCTCATTTATATGTTGTTATAGATATCACACCACCACTAATCATCATTTCATTTTAGTCATGATACTTATCAATGACTTTAAGCTTATTACTGAGACTGAGAAGTTCCACATTTAACTCTGCAAGCGTCTTCCTCACTGTACGCTGTCCTGCTGATATATCATGTTTCTATATCTAAAGAACAGATAACTCAAGTGATAAACATATTCTTTCCATTGTGTGCAAATTTGATGATTTGGGGGGAAAAGACAAAGAGAAAACTGCGGCTTACCATTAAAGAAATCAGAGTGCACTGCTTTTTCATTGGCTGCCAGGTCCATGAGCAGACCGCTGCTGCCTCCTGCCTGTTAACACACAGCAGTACAACCAGATTTACGGCATTAACAAAACACATACTCTCTCACACACATTCAAGCACACAACATTACATCACATGTAAACAGTAGGCATAGAGAAGCTACTAGGGAACAATGTGAGAACAGAAATGGAACTTGTGTAACATGGTAATTAATTTCTCATTCATGGTATCCCACAATGAACAATGTAACTGGAGGGAAGAGTGTGTTTGAATTCAGTAACACATTATTGCAGGGAGATATAGATGCATAAACTTTTGTGTAGAGGAAGTTGGTACAATTATCTTCACCATGCAGAGGTAGTTGTTGAACAATACAGAACAGTAGTAAATGACCTTTAGATGCTGGAGCCTCAATCATACAGAGTAAATATATAACATCTGAAACATCAAAATACAAAAAGTTTCAGAGGGCATGTTGATTACTTCAAGATCTATTTATATTCTTTAGCACATATAGACTTTTCTTGAACATTTGGAGTGGGATACTTGATTGTTACTGTTAAACATTTGAGATAGAGAACCAGACTAAAATGCAACATCTACTCAGTAGTGATGTGACGTTCGTGATGAGCCGAGTCTTTGAACCGGCTCTTTGAAGTGAACGAGTGAACTGGCTCTTTAGAGTGAATGAGCCAGTTCCTAATTTCTTTGTTTTTTGCTTTAATTTACTCTGTATCCATTAATTTCAGATTATTTGATCCATAACAAGTTGAGAGAGTCTAGTTTGTGAGGGAGAAAGACAGCGCAGCTGCTCACTCGCTCACTTCAAAGAGCCGGTTCAAAGACTCGGCTCGTTCGCGAACATCACATCACTAAAGTTAACCCACTATCCGCTAGCACTTGCTTGTATTGACAGGCTTGTTGTTTATAAAGGGCATTGCTATGGCTACACCAAACTTTATATCTGCAGAGTCTATTCTGGTTCCACGTTACAATATCAAGAGCACGTGATGCAATAAATCAGCAATGCGATTTGCTGTTGAACCCACTAACACCCCACCCCCCCACACACATGCACACACACACACAACAACACATAAAAGCCATCTCCTTACAGCTCATAGTCTGCATTTATTCAATATTTACAAACAAACACATAACGTGTTTATAGGTAATCATATAAGGCATATGAGATATGTATGTATATATGTATGTCTATGCATGTAGTGTATTTATATTTTTCTATTTTGCTCACTAATTTAATCACCTGTTTGCTCTGTTGACTACTGTCATTTGTGTAATCAGTTAATTTTATTCAGTGCTTTATAAATGTACTGGTGCTTTGACAACACGTTAAATATCAAGCCAATAAAGCCTGTTGAACTGCATTGAAAATATTGAATGAGACCAGCCTTAACTTGATCCGGTGTTATATCCCTACTGGTTTCCAATTTAACTGGTTTCCTTACCCAACAGCTGCAGATGTGCTGCGCCTCCGTCAGCAGATTCGTCACAAATTCACAAATATACACAACATATTACTGGCGATTTTAAAGTCGCAGCCCACATCTACCACAGCGAATATGCTTCTGTAAGTGAGCAATACGTACCAGCGACATTAAAAAACAGAAACTAAAGAAAATATGATATACACAAATTTGCGTCAAGCTGGACTCGATTTCACGTCAACAAAAAGACAATATAACACAAACCGCGTGTCTACCTGTGTGAGCCACTGAGACTCACAGAGATTAAGGCTTTCCTCAGGTATTAGTAAATTACGTCAGCATCCAGGTAACATTTTGATTTGGGCTGACCTGAGACAACTGGTTACCCTCGGCTTGCCTTGAAAATACCCAAACATATTTATCAATGTTTCTTGTTCTTTTTCCACGAGTCTACAAAGATATTCAGTGCCACATTACAGTCTACACAACACTGCACACTATGACAAAGCCTGTCATGTTTAAAAAGTGACGATCTAACTCGGAAAATGCTCTCAAAATACGCTAAATAATATGTAAATAAAAACCAAGCACTTATAGCCACTGGATCATTACAGAGGTGAAAAGTAAGGACTTACATTTACTCACGTCACTGTAATTTAGTAGTTTTTAGTGTACTTGCACTTTTTAAAAATCTAATTTGAGTGTTACATCAGTAGCCTATGTTTTAATTTAAGCATTAGCCTATGCTTCGCTGCATTTTAAATGACTTCCGTGACCGAAAAAAAAAAAAAAGGTTGGCCGAAATTTTAAAAAAGCAAACGGAATTGTATAAGCGTTAACTACCACGACACAATAATAATAGTATTACACTCTATGACAACCTGGCAGCTAGCTCTGATGGAGACATATGAGCTCTAAGAACAAACTCACATTTATGGGACGCACACTAAAAGAAATGTCGCCATGGTCCGAGAGAGGTGACGTCATGCTGTAATGATCCAGTGGCTATAAGTGCTTGGTTTTTATTTACATATTATTTAGCGTATTTTGAGAGCATTTTCCGAGTTAGATCGTCACTTTTTAAACATGACAGGCTTTGTCATAGTGTGCAGTGTTGTGCAGACTGTAATGTGGCACTGAATATGTTTGTAGACTCGTGGAAAAAGAACAAGAAACATTGATAATAGAGCTGGGTTGAAAAAATCGATTTAATCGATTCAAATCGATTTTCCTTTAAATGGCACAATATCGATTCATTAATTAAAAAATCGATCTTTTACTATAACTATTTATTTTCCTCTGTGGACGTGTTGTACAGCTGGTAGCACACTGCAGCAGCAGTGCTATCAATCCAGATGGGACGGCAGTAGCTAAGTCAATAGAGACTTGGGTTGGGAACCGTAGGGTCGCCTGTTCCAGTTCCCGTCCGGACCAAAATATGGAGCATGGACTGGTAGCTGGAGAGATGCCAGTTCACCTCCTGGGCACTGCTGAGGTGCCCCTGAGCAAGGCACTGAACCCCCCCAACCGCTCAGAGCGCCTGTCATGGGCAGCCCACTCTGACATCTCTCCACTTAGTGCATGTATAGGTCCATTTTGTGGATGTGTGTTCGGACCTGTGTGTAAATGATAAACAGAGTGAAAAATTGAATTTCCCCTCGGGGATTAATAAAGTATATAAAACAAAAAAAAAAAATCTCGCGAGATCAGCATTTAGCACCTGTGGTCATGGCGAGAGATCTCGCAAAACAGCTGGACACTGAATGAAGACAGAGCAGCAAACAATAGTGGGAGCTGAAAGCATGAGTCTACGGTGCATTTTTCTCACTCGCATTTTCCCCTAAAAATATAATGCTAATAATGTACGCATGTTTATTAAATGCACATTAGTTTCACAGAAA